CATTATACTCATAGAGAGTAACAGTAAAGTTTAAAATAAATCATTTCTCTTAGATTTTTTTCTTGCCTTACTATTTTCTTCCAAAATTATTATTATTTTTTTTTAATGCATTTTCTCCTTTTGTGATGTACCCCCTGTCAAGTAATTTTAATGTGAGATTGGACTATGGTAAGGAGGAACAAACGCACTTCTCAGAATAGGAGCAGATAAAGCCTGGAAATAAAAATATTTTGTTTACACAATGAAGAGCAAGGAATCTGAAATGGACACCTGCTGATTTCTGAGCACAAATACAGGCTGGGCAGAAAATGGATTGGGAGTAGCTTTGTAGATATGGACCTGTGGGTGCTGGTTAATGAGAAACCCATCATGAACTGTATGCTTGCAGCCCAGAAAGCTAACTGTATCCTGAGCTGCATCACAAGCAGCATGACTAGCAGGGTGAGGGAGGTGATTGCACTTCTCTGCTCTCATGAGGCCCCATCTGGAGTACTGCTCCCAACTCTGGGGTTCCCAGCCCAAGAAAGACACAGAGCTGTTAGAAGATGAGTCATGATGATGTTCACGGGAGTGAAACACCTCTTGTACAAAGAAACGCTGAAGGAGTGGGTTTGCTCAGTCTGCAGAAATCCCAGAGAAGCTGCAGCTGCCCCACTCCTGGAGGCCAGGTTGGATGGGGCTCTGGGCAGCCTGATCTGGTGGGGGGCAACCCTGATTGCAGCAATGGGTTGGAATCCTTAATGTCCATTGTAGCCCACTGGACCTGCAGCTGTTGCCTTGCCAGTAATGAAATCCTAGTATAGTGCAGGTCGAGTACTCCATTCTGTCTGGTGAAAGCACCTACAACTTCCAGCAGCCTTCAGAGAAGCTCCTTGTGCTGGGCCAGGCAGCCCCCGCAGCCTGTAACACAGACCCTACTCCTTTCTGAACATTGTACACTACACCTGTAGTTCACTTTACAACACCGGGGAGGAATTCACCTCCCTGTGACAGCTAATGTCAAGTGATACATAACAATTTGGAAGAACTTCTTTATGATAAGGGTGACGGAGCACTGGATCAGGCTGCCCAGAGAGGCAGTGGAGCCTCCTTCTATGTAGACATTCAAGACCGTCTGGATACCTGCCTACCTGTGTGACCTATTGCAGGGAGTCTGTTTCAGCAGGGGGGGGTTGGACTCACCGATCTCTTGAGGTCCCTTCCAGCCCCTGCCATTCTGCGCTTCTGTGCACTTCGGACCATTTCACAGACAGACCGCACCTCTCGTACCTCCTTATTCCCAAGCACAGCTGCAACGACCTTCCAGACGCAACTAACCGCCAAGCGGCACGACCGCACCGCACCGCAGCGCTGCACGGGGAGCTGCATCCCTCCCACCGCCGCCGCGTTTGCTCCCAGCACAGCGAACGCTGCTTTCGCCCTTTCCTCCCCCAGGCCGCGCAGAGCAGGGCTGCCGGCGAACCTCGGCCCGCAGGCGCCAGGCGCGGAGCCCCCCAGCCCCTCCCTGCCCTTACCCTTATTGTGGGTGATCATGAGGACGATGGGGACGGAGGGCCGGTCGCTGAACACCTCCGCCTTCTGCACCAGCGCCTCCCGCACCGCCCCGAAGGTGTTGAGGACGATGAAGGGCCGGTTGCCCACGAAGAGCCGGAAGATGCTGCCGTACATCTTGGTAAGGCCGGTGAGGAAGACGTGGGGGGAGAAGACGGGGGAGCCGCGACCGCTGCCCCACACCTCCAGCACCCACCTCCGCAGCAGCGGCGGCGGCAGCAGGGCGAAGGCGAAGTTGCCCACTAACGGCCAGGGCGCGGGGCCCGGCGGCAGCCCCGGCGGCGTCCGGGGCCGCAGCAGCCAGTAGCAGCCCAGCCAGCACGCGGCCGCCAGCAGCAGCTCGGTGGCGCTGGGGGCTCGCAGAAGCCACTCGCCGCCCGCCGCCATCCTCTCAGGTGGCTGCGCTCTCTCCTGCCCGCCCCCCCGTCGGCGCGTAGCGGATTAAGATGGCGGGGGCGGGCGGGCCGCGGGAGGCGGGCGGGAGGCGAGGCCTGAGGCGGGCTGAACCCCCCCCACCCCCTCTCTGTGTCCGGACCTCGTGCGCCGCTGGGCGTGGGCAGAAACAGGCGCAGTCTGCTGGCGGCAGCTCAGGAGTGTTCTTGGTGAGTGCCTACAACCCTTCAGCACGAACGCGACTTCACTTCTCCGCCCAAGGGAACTCCCCATCGAAACGTAGCTCGGCACCGGGAGCCTCAGGTGCTACACGAGGCTACCGCGCGCTCCTCGAGGCAGGTGCTGTAGCACCGGGCACTGAGCGACGGTGACTGGCCCTCGAAAAGAGGCTCTTACGAGGTTTTCAAGCGACTCAATCGACTGTTTAAGGAAATAGAAGGACAAGTGGCTCTTAAAATAATAGCTGGACTACAATGAAAAGGTTTTATTGCAAGTAAGTGTACAGAAGTTACACGAATTGTAGACACATGTAAAGCTTCCAGTGGTCAAGGTCTGTTTTTCCCCAAGCAATTAAGGCAACTGTATGCAATCTCTTTCATCTAATATAAACAGCAAGCAGATCTTTCACTACCGCTGAAACAAAGCAGAAACTAAGATCCCATGGAAATCACCTTAAAGCAGAACAGAATGCAGATTTATTTTGTCCATATTTGGCAGAAATTCAGAGGTTCAATTACCATGTTCACAAAAGAGGCACCTATTAGAAAAAACAGCATGAGATAATGTGAAAATTTAGCTGAACAAGAGAAAATCTGAGTCTCAAGGGCAGTTTTACATTCTGCAGTCTGTCCATACATAGTTAAGCTATTTAGCTAATGAAAAATCACTAGTTTTCTATACAGTTTTTTTTCCCCCACATAGAAATTACCTGACCTCACCTCCTTCTAAGCCTGTTTGACAAGTGACTGGAGAAAGTAACTCTGCTTTCCTTGGAAATCATTTCTCCCCGTCCTACTACAAAGTAGTAAAAGAAATTTTCCATTCACTGAAGTTAATTTGGAAAGTCCATTCCTCAATCCATTTCACCCTAGACTGAGAAGTCAAAGTTCTTGCTTTTAACAGTCAAAAAACTCCATGAAACAAGCAAATAACCCCCTTTCCTTCTTTCCAACCCACTCCCCTCACTAAGAGAAAAACCTCCATTAAGGAAGTACTTATCAAACAAAGTTAGTTCAAATTAATTCACATTTCTTTTAAGATAACCAAATTACAGTATTAATGCCAAGCAAGAGAACTGGAAATTTAAAGAGTCAACTCTTCAAAGCAATATAACATTACTCTCAAATTTTGACAGCCTTTGAATCCTATCACAAACACTTAGACTGTTGACTGGTTATTCTAAGCAGTTGTTAACGTTCATTTTCCTCAGCAACGGGCTGTGTTTGTGTATTTCAGTTTATAGGCAACTTTTAGATTTTTATTTCAACAGGCACTTTGTTTGGGAAAAAACAAAAACAAAAAACCCACAACCCATCAAGTACATTGAAGATGCTCCAAAGTTCTCTGAGTAGCATTAGTAGACTGATAAGCATAGCTCCATAACTCACAGCAGATGCTAACACAGAAAATCCGCACTCAGTCACCCACTAGTCAGTACCTGCCATGTGCTCACAAAAGCTTCATTTTTGCAGGGCATTTATACATGCAGCCATTTATTTCTGCTATTATTTGTACTATTATTTCTACTTATATTGCACTTTTTAAATAAAAGAAAAAGATAGTTTTGTCTGAGGCAACTACTAATTAAAATAAAGCTATATTTCACCATGGCTTAAAACTATTAGAGATGACTTCATTCTCTCCCTTCGGCTCTTCCCAATTTCTTGCTATTAAATCAATTAGTGAGGCACAATACAGACTATTGTACTAGATTTTCCATCTTCACTGGATGATCAGAGTAATTTCATTGGAAATAGAAGCAAACTAGTCCTGGAATAGTCTTTGCATAGGCAAGAGAAGTTCTGTAGAACAAATCTTTGAGAAGCCTGTTTGTTTATTGAAGTAACAAAGGTAAATGGTTTGGAAGAACTTTTTCCAGTATACAAAAGGTGCAACCTTACAACAGAGCAGCAGTGTCTCAGGTGGCACACTTGCCCATACAGACTGCTCACTCACACACCTATACATGACGCCCCATCTGCACTTTCAAGAGTGCAGAAGTGGAAGATTTCATACTTTCTCACTACTGGATCCTACTTATTTCAAAGTTGGGAACTATACTATAGCCTAATTTAAAGGCATCAGCACTTTCTCAACTGTCAGTCAAAAGGGAGCCTTTAACAAGAAACGTAGGCTTTCATTTCTCTCGGAGAGAAAACGTAGATACTGCTGCCTAAAGACTCCATTTAGATTGATTAGGAAGTGCACTGACCTTTATTGTATGCAACATGAAACCATAACTAAAGAGGTGGAAAAAAAAACTCCAGAAGGCACAAGGAATTTCTCATCTTAAGAGCTTGCTTATGAAGCCGTAAATCAATAAGAACTTATCTGCCATAATCTCAATAATAATCTTCATTAAGGCTTTCACATAGACTCATAATATCCTACTACAAATTGCCTTGACAATCACATCAGACTTTCACTTTCAAATTTCACTTCTGCTCTTCAGATAAGGCTACATCATTGTCTCCCTTCACAACATTGCTTTTCAAAAATTTCAGCAGAAGTTGCATCTACAATAGAGAGTAATGACCATTTCCTCACACAATTTTCTGTCTTCAAGGTTTCAACAATGCTGATGAAGCCAGAGAACATTTAAAAAAAAGTACCAAGTTTATGCCTTAATCATAGATACCACATCCTTTACATCTTACATCAAGCTTCCAAAGGATAGCTGTCCTAAGCACTTATGAAAATTCAATCTCAGACCAACCTTTACCCTACACACTCCTGCCTTCTTCCTGCATTTAAAATATTTACAACAATTTTTTTGTAGGTTTCATACAAAATAAATAGAAAAGGGTCATATTTTATAAAAAGCATTTAGAACAAGCTTAAAATATAGAGAAATTGCTTTATTGAAAAAGGTGTCAAAACAGCTCAGCTTAGTGTTCATGGGCAATAAGAGAATACCAGCTCTTGATAATTTTTGAGATTATTAGCACCATAGATGGACATAGTTTCTGATATATATGTATTTTTTAAGATGAATGTGGTTGTGTAAGTAGTCCCAAGAATTTCATTTCTTTAGTACATACATTGACCATAAAGTTTCAACTTCTTCGTGCCAAGTGAGCAAACCGCACAGAACAAATTTCTTTGACATTTTCACCAAATTCATGGTCAACAATGCAAGTGATCATGACAGATAGCACCTTTTATGATATAAGCTATAAGCTGCTTACATTATTGCTTTTTTTTTTTTAATTACAGCCAGTGCATTTTTTTTTTTTTTAAATATACAGTGAACATAGATTGCAATGTCTTACAAATCACAACACCAGTATCTCGTGGTGTACAGCAAACTACAACACTAAGTTGTCATCTACTTGACAAAAAATAGTTGACGTGCTAGGAAGCATCATAATGTTCTCAACATTTTACAGTTTAAGAGCCAACTCTTGCTAATTGTGAATAAATCACAAGAAAAGGAGCTCCAGCTGGCAACTATCAGTAAAAACTACAGCACACGAGGCCTAAAGTAGTACCATTTGTTAAAGAAATGTTATGCTGTACAGCAAGTGCGGAACTGAACCCCAAAACTGCAAGGAAAAAAAGAAAAAGGCCATACATTAGCTCCTTAGCATGCACGAACCACAGCACTCTTGTTTTCAACCTAGGAAAAAATGATGCCAGAAAAGCTGCTGGTTGATGAGAATGAAAACCACATTGCAGTTGAAAGGAATGTCCTGCTTAAGCCTCTGGAGTTCTCCTCAAAGTCACATGGAAACAGCAAGAACTGCAGCCATCAGCAAACTATTTCTCTTGCTTTCAGGCTTCTGGCTGCAACCCTGATCTCAACAAAACAACCAGACCTCATCTTTATCATACCTGAAACATGCTATCTTAAGTCAGAACATTAAAAAATATATCTATATATCCATAAAACATTCACAGAGCAAGAATTTCTCAATGCAAGTGATTTCTGATGCAAAGAAACAAGCACTCCCTAGGATGTTAGATTTTGCACCTGGAAGTAACTTCGAGTAGTGCAGGTGTGTGTCTGACAACAATATCTTTTGGCTTTATTGTTAATTTTGGAGCCTTCTTAAAATGTCTATTATGTTACTCAGCATCAAGCTACTTAGAAAGCAACAGAAGCAGAAGACAGAAGCACAAGGCAGCCTACGCTACACTTAAGCACCATTTTGAATGGCCACAAACTATGAAAAATTGGAATGTAAAACCAGCTAAAAATAACAAAACCAGAAATAAAGAAGCCCTGACACTCCACCCAAGGTGCAAGATGTGTTGAAGTTTCAAAATTCTGCTTAAATGCCATACATATAAAATTCACCAACGCAATTACGTGTAAGCGGGGAGATAAAATTCCCCATTGTGTTCTCAGCGTTCCTGCTCTCCTCTAACAGGGTCTAAAATATGCAGGCACATTCACTTCTAGCGCAACTCACATGCTTGAAATGACACCAGCTCAGACACAGTGTTGAATGAGAACTGTCTTTACAGATGTTCCCCTTTTTAGTCCTTTTCATAAGTTTTCTCTTTTTTCATTGGCGCCCATTCTCAGCATCTTGGCACTATTACACCTTGCACTGGGAAGCATCATAAAGTAACAGAAAAAGCTTGATGTACAAGCAAAATTACTTCAGTGGCACACAGAGATATTTTAAAGTATTCTTAAGCAGTGACAGCCATTTGGAATAATGGTCAGCAGAAGTAACTTTCTTCAAAATTCTTCTTTTTCTCCCCCCTCCAGAAACTGAACTTTAATCACACTAGTTTTAGTGCCTGGTCTAGAACACAAGAAATGTTTACTCTCACAGATCATTTTAGTGTTGTGCATCTGTAGGAGACTCCTAGCTGAGTTCAAAACACTAAGGAAAATAAAGACGAGCACAGAGCTCTACATCTCTGAAGTCACCCAGTAGTGAAAACCAGTTCCAAACATTTGCTCACATCTAATATACTGAGCAAGTATTTAAGATTATACCCTCTGAATCTTTAAGATAGTTTTAGTAAGAAAAAGCTTGAAGGAACCTTCCCACAAGCTGAAGTGGAAGACTTCACCTTGCACTGAAAATGAATGAATCTAATCTCAGAATCATAAATCATACTTCATGTCTAATGAAACAGGACAAGGGATTTGGTCTGGTACCAGACTTTTGCAGGATAAATTGTCTAGCCAGACACTAACAACGGGTGAAAGTTTGAACAGATTCAGATTTAAGAAACAGATAATGAGATTACTCCAAATCCTCTTAAAAGAATTCTCTCTCGTGTCCTAAGATACCCTCTTAGTTCTGTCTTTACTAATAGAGCTTTGTTTCTCAATTACGTGAAGGTTTCCAACGTTTTAAAGTCTTCCCCTCCCCTCTTAAAAAAAAAGAAAAAAAGTGGGGCTGGGGAGGAAGGAGGAAAACCGATGCTAGAGTTCATAGCAATGCTTAGCACAGCTTTCTGTTACTAGCCCAGCTGCAGCTATCTTTCCAAGAAAACAGCAACGGAGAATGACTAGCAATGATTAACATATGCGTCCACACGGGAGCGCTAAGCACACAGAAATGTCAGGTTAAAGTGCTTCCAAGTGCGCTCATCATTTCTGGCTGGCGCATTCTCTTGGAAATCAGCATCTGCAGCACTACCACATAGCAACTCATTTCTTGATATACTGGAGTTAACCTTTTAAATCCCAGCTCGGTATTTGAATTTAAGAAATCCTGGTTTTTAAGTTAAGCATTCCCAGAAGTTTGATTCGTAAATGCAGAGCACCCAACAGCATTCAAATCATACTGATATGACAGAAGCAAACTGTAGCTTTTTGTTTCGTTTTTAAAGTGCCTACATAGTTCAACATGTAGATGCTCTTCAGTAGAGAGAAGGAACATTTTATTTCGTCCCAGTACAGCTGCAGCTCGTGACATCTGTAAGAGATCATCATAACTCCAGGAAAGATACTTATAAAGACATAACGAAAAACAGTGGGCCTTCACAGCCCGAAACAGGCTTATAGTCAAGCGTCTGGTACATTAAGATAATCCAAATCTTCTTCTGTTTTCACTCACTGCAATCCTTTTCCCTCCTAAGAGGAAATCTTATTTTCTGCTTCACAGAATCTGTATGTGATGATCTCCAAGTTCTTAAAATAACTTTTATTTACCAGCTGTTTTGTATTGGATAGACTACTACAGCCTTAAGCACTATCAAGTAATTACTTACCCTACTTCATCACCATATATACATAGGCATAAAAAGTCCTCAAGCACATCTGCACTATGTTTGCAAAAACAATTTAAAGCTATAAAGATATTAGAGGAATTTTTTTTTAATCGTAAAGTAAGCACACACCCTTTTGGAGGCATTTGATACAGTGCAGTGAAGTTAAGCACCTGAAGTGAAACTGAGCTAGAACAGGAATCAAGTACTTTGAGCTAGGGTTGTCATTTACTTCTCTTCTGCATTACAACAGAAGTTTCTATCAAAGTCAGCAGCAGAATGAAAAGCTCACGCTTACCAACAAAAGCAAAATTTTACTTTGTTCCATTTTTCTTCTTCCACGTTTTCCCTCATTGCAACAGGAAAACCCATCTAATCCTGCATGAAGAAATCCTAGTTGGCAGATAGACTACAGAAATCCCACAGCAGTGGCTGTGCAATTAGTTATCTACACTACTCAGGTATTTATTATTCAGCCACCAGATGAATATCACTGCTTAAGCTCCTTACAGAAATGCTTTACCTCACGTTATTTTCAAGGCACAGGTAACAGCAGTGAAATCCATTCATGACTTCTAGGCTGTCTTAAGTTGAACATATTTAAGATATCAAAGCCAGTATTCAGCTTCAGAAAATGTCATGCTCTGTGAAGTTACACTGATATAACACCATCTTGTGAAATGTATAGTCTCTCATTGAACTAACTCATTTGTACTCTCATGGAAGTGTTTTGATACCAGCCTTTAAGTTACTCAAGTTGTGCCAGAAGCAAGCAAAAACACAGCCATGTTTACACACACAAATTCGAGGCATATTTGAAAACTGTGAGCAGCTTATTTAAAATAAAACAAACAAACAAACATGAGCAGAATGTCTTTCTTAGCTAAGTTTTTACCAAGGATGTACTGTAAGGAACATGTTTTTTATTGTATTGTACTTCGATAATGCACAAAAATTTGAGAAGAACATTAACATTCTAATGTACAACTTAGTTATTGATCCCCTTAACTAAAACAAAATATATATTTGAATAATCTGTATTGCATTTAAATACTTTAACTGCACTATTTTAAAAACAAGTTCTCATAAACTATGTTCATACTTGTCACTCAATTCAAGACACTTAAAATAAACACTATTTCCTTTATACCAGTATAATTTCAACTCTTAATGCAGCTTTTGCTCTGCTATCAGGCTTAACTTGAAGACTTGGGAAAAAAACAATTAACTGCGGAAATGAACTGGTAAAGATAGTATGTTGGTTTTCTAGTTTGCTTTCTCAACAATACAAAGCAATGAAAAACAACAAGAACCAGGTAGTTGTTAATTGGCATCTGTGTTACATGTTTACACTGGTAGCTTCTTACATTCTCAGCCAACATGCATATATAACCATCCTAATTGAACTGAAACCAGGACAAAAAAAAAAAGAATTTGCACTTGGAGTTATACCACAGTGAAATGCAATCCCAAATGGTTTTACATATTAACTGAAGAAATGCTTCTGTTGTAGGTATTTACCTTGGCTTTTTTTTTTTTTAATTAAATCACAAAAATGCATCAAAAGGTAGAAAAACCAAATTAAATGCAGAACTATGGCCCCCAAGGAAACTTGCTATGTAGTTTCAACAGGAAATAGCTACTAAAAGTTTATTTTAAATACAGCCCCATTCCAGATCTGGTCTCTCAAGCAGATGAGATCAATGGGACTTTTGCCTGAATTAAGAACAGTATGAGCACTCTTTTTCAGTTAAGTAGTTTTGTTTAACATGTCTTCCTACACATCAGCATGTGCTTCTGTATGCGTATGCAGTCACTGCATAGCTACAGATGCAAGGCCAAACTGCAGTTAAAGATTTAGACTTGGAAACTGTGCCCTTTTTAAAAAATAAAGTTCTAGGCTCCTTGAGCTCTGATGTTAGCAGCTATTCCTAATTTGCAAAGTCATCAGGTAGCACAACAGTTTAAATATAAAATACTAATAAAAATGTAAAAATTGGTACATCATACAATATATTGAAGGTAGTGGTAGCAGTATTTTAGGGTCATAAGATAGCCATACCCACAGAATGTAAAAAAAGAAGTCAAGACTTGCTTCCAAGCTGTACTAGTCACACAAAGGTCTTACCTTCATTAGCAAGGATAATGCAACAAACCACTTCCCACAACTGTGTGCTCTTTTGTATACTTCAATACATCGATATCATGCTTCTATATTTTAGCATGGTTTGGCCCTTACACTCCAGAACTCTAAGGATGAGATTTTTGGGTGCATCTGGGGACAAGTGATAGTTAGCAACCAAAGTGTTAATAAGGTCTTTGGCACCTCTATCTCATTTGTAAAGCAAAGTCCTGCTCCATATTCTGTAAGGAAAAATCCCATCAGCAGTGCCTTCTATTAGCACATCACACTGCACCATGTGATCACAAAATAATATGAAATGGCAATATACATGTCTACAATTTATTTCCAATCAATTGCACAGCCGTTTGGTCCACTTCTTCAGTTACAATATAGTCCTCTTGAGAACTTTGGTTACAGCATTAATATTTTGGTACAAAAACAGAGCAGATGCTTTTCTTTTCTTCAGGTAGATTTCTCATTGTCTTCTCCTGTTTTCTGAACCCGTGAATACTTTTTGCATGAAGATTTGAAGCAGCTGGGAGGCCACGATATTGGCCAGGAGAAGCTGCAAGGAACAGATCCTTGCACGTTCTTCTCAAAGAAATAAAATATTGGATACCACCAAGCTCGAGAGAGAAAATTTGTCTGCGAAGAAACCTTTAGAGTCTGTATGGGCAGAAGCAGGTAAGGAAGAAAAGGACACAGAGACAAGAAGTTTAATTGATTATTGTGTTCTACAGCAGCAACAAAAAAAATCTACATTAGAGTACATATCTGCAAAGACACATTGCCTTGCAGAAACACATGTGACTACACTGCATTTATTCTGAAAAAAGCAGTGAATACTCAGGTAAGATATGCATCCTAATACAAGCATGTACTGCAAACTCAGCATCTTTAACACAAAGGGCAACTCTAATGCTACTTAGTTTAGGGAGACAAAGCACCCAAGTCTTTTTTGAGTGAGCATCCTTTCAAGCATGTCACGTTTTCATTGATGACTAATAGTTGAAAAATAGATTACAAGGCTTCAGAACTGATATTCTACATTCCTACTTGAAAAGGTTATAAAAATGTACCTTCTAGTGATGCTTACAGTAGAGCTGCTATAGGAATTATGGTCTAGCTGTTTTAGGTTGGTAAGAAATGTTTATCATAAGCTTAGATAATCAAGCGCTATACTGCATACCCACAACTGCAATAACATAAAAACCATTTTGTTCTTGGAATTTCATTTTGTCTGAATATCAAGAACACTTTTTAAAAACTAACAGTTACAGATCAAAAAGAATATCTTAGAGCATGAAATATTTACTTAAATCACAGTAAAAAAAAAAAATCAAACTCCTTTTCCAATTTGTTTAAACTTCGATACAGACTCTCTATTTTTCCTTCAAAGTTAGGAGTTCACTTTGGCCTCAGGGTAGAATTAACAAATGCATGGCATACATTGATTCTGAACATATTTGCCACTCACCTTTTCATTAGCCATCGAGTGGTACCACCAGAAGAGTCGTGTAGTGATATAGTAAGCAATGATGACATCTACAGTGTAATGTTCATGAGCAACAAGAATACAAATTATGCCAGCAGCACTCATCAGCCAGCAAATTAAGTGATACCACCAGAAATGACGTGGCGAATCTGTAATAATAGGGAGATGAAGGGAGAACAAAAGCAAACATACATATTACTACAGCAATTCAGTGGGTAAACTGAAAAATGAGAAGAGATGATTAAAGACTATTGAGTAGTAAAGCATACAACACAGACGGGGGATGAATAGATGCACTATCACTTGTTCTCTAGCTAGCTTCATCTCTCCCACAAATCGTAGAAAAACACTCTTATTTTGCTTGCCTACTTTGACTCTAGTCCTGTTTCTGTCTTCTGTACTTCAAGTAACATATATTCAAGTCAAATATCTAGAATCAAGGTAAACTGTGCAGAGATCACAGATTAAACAGGGAAATCAAAAATAAATCCTTACTTTAACTCTTAGTTTTAGCTACTTTACTGAGATATCTACTCTGAAAGAATACACTGTATGGAGAAGCACAGTATGCAAAGTTAACTTTTAATGAAAGCATAAGAAGTGAAACAAGCTATTTTTCAAAACGCACTTAAGCCACTTAATGGCCAAACTCCCCCTCCCTTTCTCTACCCATTGGAAAGTATCTTGTCTTTCCAATGACCACTCATAACTTCTGAGAGCCTAACAGGCTCCATTTCACTCACAGTACTAAGTTTTGTCAACCCTCCCTTGAGGTCGAATGGCAGCCTTGAATTTTATGCAATACTAGCAGACTAGCTACTGATCTGAAACCTATCCAGCAGCACTTTGATAGTCCTGTGCAAAACAGTGCCTACAGAAGGAATTTGCTTCCGTGCATGTGCCAACAATACTAAGTTCTCAGATCCCTCTAAACATTACAAAGCTAAACTCAGTGACTTAAAGTGAAGGAGCAAAAGATGGAAGGAAGAATGGAGCAAAAAAAAAAAAAAAAGTCCCAAACTGAACTAGAAATAAAAACTTAATGCATCTTTTGCTGACATGTGTCATGTCAAAAAAATATGCAATTTAAACAAACGCAGTAAGTAAAATGCAGTTCAGAGCATATCTGTTTCTTAGGATCCTACTCAGCAGATGTTTTGCTAATTATACAGGAAACAGAAATAAAGCTATCCATCTCTCATACATCTGCTTGTACCAAACACGAGTTATAGAGGACAACTACACAGAAAAACATCCTTAGCAATGAGGCAGCAGTCGGAGGTCATTTCAAAGACACATGATACTAGTCTTCCAACCTGTTATGATAAAAGCTAGTAATTATACCCTAAATACTGAGTCATCTGCATTCTTCCTTGCACTAAAGCATATTGGAACAGCGTGCAGCTCCAATTACATCCACAAAACAAAGTAGAAAACAGGTCAATTCTTAGGCTATTTTCCCAATACTGTTCTGATATTTTTAACGAGTTCCATATGCCATTCATCCAGTAACATTCACTTGAAAGCCTAATTGATTAGTTTGATTATTCTTATCTTAAACTGCTGTTTAAGAACCATCTTGAATCCACAGATTTCAAGACTGCAGTAGTAAAGCTAGTATTTTTAGGTATTTTTCTTAATTCATGCTTTTTTATAGCATAATACTGCAATGTCTCTCCCTCAGCATTTTAATAAAGTACAGAATTCAACTGATGCTAGCTAATCATATTTCAGTAAAAATGACATATTACTATCATCCAAGCTAGCACCTGCACAGGTTGGAGCATGGCAGTAAGAATAGATTGCAATTTGTAACATGTAAACTGGAGAGGAAACTCTTTACTACTGCATTTATAAGCAGTCAAGCTCCTAGGACAGAAGTACAATTTACCATAGATCAGACTCAGTAGTAGGTGCTCAGTTCTCTGAATCAATGCTGTGTGTGCAAAGATAATTCCTCACACTCTCCATATCTCACAATACTACACAAGAAAAAGGGAAGTCGTAACCCCAATTATGTCTCCTATGTGTTTGCTAAACTCTTATCAAGTGGAAAGGTATAAGAAGAGACTCTAGCAGAAGCCATCCAAGGAGTTAAAAAAAAAAAAAAAAACCACAAACCTTCAGCTTTCCACTGCTTGATATAATTAACTTACTGTACACTTAAAGAACGAACACTGCTTCTGGATGTAGTACAAGTGTGCAGTGACCATGTAATCAAGCCACAAAAATACCATTCAAACCCCCAGCACAGCAGCCAGCCAGCATTCAATAAGGTTAGCTTGCATATTTAACTATCATGTTTTGAGCCAAAACTTGAATATCCTGTCAATGAACAATGAAATGCTAGCCTGCTTAAAAGAAAAAAATAACTTTTTATAAAGCTGCAAGTCAAATGTCTTCGTCAAATTAAGCCCTTAAAGCCCATACTGCCTTATTACACTTATGTTCCATTTTCACTCTGCAAAGTCACAATTTGTTTTCACACCTGTACACAAACTGTACATTTACACTTGACTGATAAATTCTAGAAGGCAACAGTTTTACATGCACTTTTATCACGTGCTTTTTAGTACAACAGATGCAAACAATGAGAACTTATTTAAATATGCCATAACTTACACTCTTTGATGAACAGGTAGATCAGTGTCAGTACTACAGTGTGACCACTGAACAGGAAGTCTCCACACAAGATGTGAGATCCAGTTATGGATAGACCACCACCAGATATCAGTCGCAGGATCCTCTGTACCTTTGCCTGAGAATCTCCATTCAACTAGACCACCAGAAAAAGAACAGAAGAAAAGTTATGATACAAAGTAAGTAACTTGAATAAACTTCTTCCTCAGCAATATGTGGAGTTAGGAAGAAGTGACAAATATCTTCATTCTCCTCCCACCCCCATTTTCAATTTACTAAGTTTAGAATTACTAATGAAGCAACTACTTCAGTACTTACACACACACACACACACACACACACACACACACCTGCTCTAAATCTGAATAATTGCCATCAGTTCTAATTTTCAAAAATAAAACAAAAAGTTAGGCAAACATTCAGTATCACCTAGCCACCTAAGGGCAACTCTGAGAACAACAAAGCTAACAGGGATAATCAGGTCGTTCAGAACCAGAAAGAAAATACTCATGTGGACAAAAAAAAAAAAATCCAAGAGAACTACCAAGTCTTTCAGATTTCGATTAAACCCTCTTCTTTTAAAGGCAGCAAAATATTTTTGCTGGAAGGGCATATAAGCTTTCCCTGTCTCTACCCTTCCCACCCCTTGATAAAGCACGCTACAGGCAAAGTAATTTTGCAAGCTATTGGAGAGAAACATTTGAGGAGCTTTACAACAGTGAAATGTAAATTAAGCATCTTCAAATAGATAGAGAATCATAAGAAAGAAACACAGCAGATGAAAGAGTTAAGTCACGTTGTCCCAGTTGGAAATAACCAAATGGAACAGGCATGATGCTACACCTCAAGACTGATGAGATCCTTCCCAAGGTCTCTGAAATATCTGCTTTAGTATTTGCTCTAATGAGCCTTAAGGACTCAGCTAAAGATTAAGATAAGAATCAAGCAGCAAAGGCTCCTACCTTTGGCGCGCACTGAAAATGCATTCCAGGCACAGGTAAGGTGGTAACATACATAGTAATGCAGCGGTACAGGTACAAAGTTCCTATTATAAAAAAAAACCTGCGTCCCACAATTGATCTGAAAGTGAAGGGGAAAAAAAGATTCTACTCAAAGGTCACACACATGATACATATAGCAGCTAGGAAGCTCTAGTTTCACTAATTTATATAGTTCAGATAAGTCACTAGAATTTCAGAGCAGCTCTATCTCCTACTCCGTTCTCTAAATGCCAAATACTAAGAAATCTTTTTTCTGTTTCAGTCTTGATTTTTACTATATTAAAAAATTAAAATACCATAGGGATCCTACTATACCTAACAAATTTAGGTGTGATATCAGGTACCATATTCCTTGACTCAGTGACCTTTCTTCATCTCACATATCAAAATCAAACATATGTTTATAATATCTATAGCTTAAGCAAATGACGACAATGGAAAAAGCTTCTAGTTTAGCTGTAGGAAATAATGGCTTTCTCCTCAGATTAAAAAAAAAAAAACAAAAAACACATCACCATGATTTTCTCTCTTTAAACATTATAATTTCAATGATCACACTCTAGAAAACTCAATTCCAAAGTACATTTGACTAGCATATGTAGGTGTCAAATTCAAATCGTGAGACACTACAGAACTAACAGGAAACACCCATATCTCTGTATCCAATGTGGACATTGAAACATTTTCTAATTAAGTCATCCCTCTGCCAATTTTCTGCCAGCTCTATTCTATAATATTGCTACAGATTCCACCACAGATTTCTTTTACCCAAATCAAATGTGAGAAAGCAATGTTTGGGAAGCACACAGCAGGTAAAAACAGCTACTTACTTATATCTAAGAAATAACCATTGGAATATCCACAGTCCGACTAGTATCATTCCATTTATTTCTGATACAGAAAAAGCCCACGTCACACGATCAATATAATCAAAAAATTTGTCAGGCAAGGGAGGGCTCCGCTCTTTTGGAGGTACTCTCTCATGGACCACAGTGATCATGACAGTTGTTAAAATCAAGTTGAAGAGAGCATAGACAAAGGCAATGCCTGTTTTCCACCATTCCAGAGGAAATTTGTTCCTGGATTCAGCAGGCATAGCAATCTGGATGTAATCAGGATATTTCTTTGCAGATTTTCGCAAGCCATTCGACAAGGCCTTCGGTTTGTTATTGCCATTTTTGTTCTCCTCGCTGACTGAGAGAGTAGGGCGTGTGTATCCATTAGCAGAGTCATTGTTTTGACCCTCCATATGGTCTTCAAGTTTTGCGGTCTCGATAGTATTCATTCCCAGGCTGCAGGGTTAAACCAGGTTTTGTAAGTGACTGATTCTGAGGAGCTCCTTAAAGCCTCTTACTCGAAGTCCAATGTTCCTGTTCCTAGATGATTTTTGATTACTGGCAAAACTCTTACCAAGTGTCCATTGTGCCAAAAGATAGTGTAAAGCAAGTTGTGGAGACAAGTCTTCCCCCCCCCCTTATAGCTCTATTACCTGCAAACAGAAAAAAAAGAAACTTATTGAGAACCTTCAGAACAATTAATGTGATAGTCAACAAATCTTAGAAATGTTTACTTGTATTGCTTTACATATGCAGTCAAAAGAAACTAAAGAAAGGTGGTTACTGTAAAGTAATTCAAAACAATTCCTATCAAGTAATTTGATATACGATTGGTTTAGGCACTACTATGAATTCAGGCTTTTTTCTGAGTAGACAATATGAACATGTTCTCATTAACACCACTCACTCGTTAGAATTAAAGCAAATCTGTTTTTGCAAAAATATTGAATGTTATTACTCAAAAGCTTTTTTTTTTTTTTTTTTTAAACAAAAATTACTCCTTTTGGATTACAGATTCACTCTATATTATACCTTGGTTTACCCATAAGATCAGTCAATGTTAGTTCAGATGAAATAAAACAGAAGTGCACTACTGTATTTGAGATCGATTAGCTACAAAATTCACTCAATGGATAGCTCCACTAAGTCTCCTGGGACGCAGAATAACTATTTCAACCATAAGAGTCCCAGTGCATCTTCAAAGCTGTTGTAGCACCCACTAAACATCTGATTTTTCTGCAAACTGAGAAATACCTCTGTATTAAGCACTTTGTTGTAGAGATCGTTACATAGAATAAAATAATTGATCTTTATTTGTCCTTCACTTAGTTAAAAATGGGTCTAAGACTACGTTCCGAACAGGAAGAAGTAGCAAGATCCACTACAGCACAGCATTTATTTTAATCTGATTCTGTTGATGCGGACAAGCCTGACTGCTCCACCACAGACTAGGATTTACGAGAAAACTGTTCAGGAAAAACCTGCTCAATGATTTCTCTCTTTATAGCAAGGACAATCAACCCTATCTGGAAAATTTGTTTGTTTGTTTTAAGGAAAGGTATTAGGCATAGTCAGCATGTAAATCCCATTGCTATTATTATTATGCTATCTAGTTGCATTTCTCACTGCCTAAAGAAAGAAGGGGATCATTAACTGCTCTCAAGTAAAGTAAGATTCATACAAGTTTTCACATGTTTGGAACCAGGAATTAACATCTGAAAGGAAGGAAAGAACAAAGCATGATCTCCAGACTGTCGAAAACCCAATTTTTGAGAACAAGATCACTGTAGGTGGAGATCAGCAAGGGCATACTACAATTCTGCCTGCCAACAGAGCACGTTTATTCAGATCAAAGTATTGTGTGCTCACATGAATCAGTATGTTTATTAGTTGCCGTGAAAAACATAAAACCCAGTTGGAGTAGTCAAGGGAAGAACAGCCTACTCAATGCCTATTTCAAGTTTATCAGTCTGCTTTCTCCATTTTAACAAGATTTGATTTCAAAAGCAAAGAAGTCCACATCAAGTAAGCTGCTCTATAGCAGGTTTCTTTATGCTAACCTCCTACATATCTACCCTTTAATTAAATAGCTTTGAAATGGTGCTTCATTGCTCATGGCTAACTCCCAAAGATCAGCAACAGAAAATGAGCTTTTATACACTCTGTCCCAACAGGTATTATTTCAGTTCAGTTCTAGAACCAGTTCTGGAATTTAAGCAAAAATATTGTGATATATACATGGGAATATATTGATCCGCACCTCTAGATTTCTGTAAGCACCACAGCCTAAACAATGACTTGTCTCACATTCCCATAAAACGGATATGGGAAGAAGAGAAAAAACCCTTTCCCTCTGCTTCAAGAGCAACACAAAACCATTTACTCTTATCTCAATGAGCAGAGCTCAGAACTCTCCCAGGCTTACTGTTCTTACTAAGAAGAGAAGTATATGGCACTGATAGAAAAATGTTTTCTATAGGTAGAAGAGTAACAGCTGAAGCCTCTTCTCTTAAGAAACCCTACAAGCTGACTGCTGCTTTCTGATTCCTGAAAGAAGCTGTACGTGTTTCTCAGCAGTACTGTATACTCCCAATCTGAAAATATGAACACACATTTGTATTAATTGTACTAATCCAAAGCCATACAACAAGCATGGGAAGACTATGTTTTCCCACACACACCAACACAGCAATTTTAACCCTCAAAATACAACATCTAGTGCTATTTAACAAAAGAAGCCACACAGTTCCAGGTTTTCCCATCAAGAGTTCCAATGTAAAAAAAAAAACACTAATGAAACATCACACTGACGAAGCATCCTTCTGGTTTCCTAACACTTAATCTCTATCTCACATAACTGTTTCTGAGATCACTAAATCACTGCAAACTACATTCCTTTTGATCACTGAAGATCAAAGAAGAACATATGCCTTACGTTCTGCGTGCTGAAAAGAAAATGAAAAGTAACAAAACTAAAGACACAGCTTCACAGCTTTATTTAAGAAGTTATTCCACAACAGAGGAAGCCAGTTTAACAGTTAAATCACCAAGTTCTTAGCACTGAAAGCACTTCCCGACTCTTCTGGCTTTCTGACTCAACTAAGAAAACATTACAGCTATTTCAAGGCACCTCTTTAGTTGTTCAGCTACAGGAGTGAAAGGAGTTAAGTGGCACCTCCACTGGCTTCCCTGCGCCCAGCTGCATGCTGCAGTCACACACCTTGAAGCCCACCTCCCAGTTCTTCCTGCTCTTCCCTCAGGTGCACAAGCAGGTAGCACTCAGATGCTGACACGCTCTTGTTCAACCTGTCTCACAATTCCTCCTAATGCTTGTGGTGCATTAAGACTCCGTGGTAGAAATGGTAATGCAACATTCAAGAGGTTCTCACGCAGACCAAGGGCTGAGCTACAGCACACACATCTGCAATTCCACTCCACTTCCTCTAGAGGGAAAGCTACTAATCAAGTAGTCTTTGGAGTAAATGACATGCATTTTGGAAAAGGCCTGAGGAATTTTTAAAAAGAACCATCTGTTCTACTTAACTGAAAGGGAAGATAAAGGCAACCTCAAAATATCTCAGACCCACTGCCAAACAAGCAAAGGTTCCGATTTGTATCCTCTTTCAAGTTTAACTTCTTGAAGCAGCTTTCAGCACTGGAAGTAGTTGAATGTGATGCTATGGTACACGGCTGAGACTCAGGGAATAATACTATTGCCTACAATCCACCCCATTTTTTTGTTGGCCTTCATGTTTTTGAAAACACTTAACATTCTTGTCATCTGACACTGAAATCAGCATTACACAGAGAAGATGACGCTGATAAAAACGTTTCTATTTATGTCACACTTGTGGTTTGTTCTCATCTTTTCTCCCACTTAGGAGCTTGCTCCACCTTGCACTTGATTCTGCACAACATCACGCACAGGAATTTTTGTTTCCCATTTCTTCACCAAATTAGGTTTTTCCCCTCTAACCAGAAGTAAAAAAATCCAGAGAGAAGCAAAGCTCAAGAGTTCCTTTAAAATCCATTGTAAAATACCAATGGCCTTAGAAAGCACTTAATTTCATTCCCTGAACTGTACCATTGTTTTTTTTCCTTCTTTCAAATTATTTTTTCTATTCCTGAACAATCATACTGCAATGAGAACATACTGAAATAAAAAGCAGCTTTCTCTTAGACTGATAATGCATCAGATGGACAAGAGCCCCAGTTTTTATGTTTGTAGACTTTCATGGAACAGGATCATAATCAAGACTGAGAGTCAAGACTTCAGACTCTGCTCAGTTCTTCATGGGCTCGTAGACACTTTAAAATCAGAACACTTTTTGAAATGCATGCATCTTTAGTCCAATGTAAATACTGAGAACTTCCAGAAGATTTTTGTGTATGTAAGTGAGCCAGTAGCAGAGATGCCCAGATGTTTTATGCTTTAGAATTGTAAACAATTCAGTCCTAAAGGCCAAAGAAAATCCAAACAAACAATAACCTAGCAACACAGAAGCAGAGCGACATTCAGGCTTTTATATTAACTTATTAAAAGCTGTTATACCTACAGCTTACAGACAAAGCAATGTTCCTTTCTGGCACTTTCAGAGGATTGCAAGGCATATCGATCTACCATTCCCGATGTCTCATCAAAATTATTTCAAGCTAAGAGCATACTGTGAACTCAGAATAAAGTTTCAGGGTACTGTATCATTTGAGCTGCAGGAAGTCAAAGGCTTTTCTTCCCTCATTGGGACTCAGTCTATTTTTCTCATATTTTCAAATAATGCTTATTTATCTTACTAATTAAAAAACTAAAAACAAAAACACCAGCCTTGTCTGAAGCTTCTACTTCCTTGTTGCCAAGTTGACTACCCAGAAAAGTGACAGACATAAGGCTAATCATCCTCTGATTCAGGCTGTGAAAACTACTCTCCAAATGCACGCAAGTTTTTCCAGCCAAAACCAAGAAAACCAAAACCGACACACACAGATCCCTACCTATGCACCTACAAGGCATTTATTCCTTGGAGTTTCCACACTGTTCTTACATTCATGTGAAATATCCTATTCCTTTTGTGCAACCTGCAATGCCCCTAAATCAAAAGATAGGAGGTGACACAGACTGTTAGGAGTAGGCTTTAGACTCCTTCATTATTGGGTAGCAATGCTCAGACATGACCCACTGCCAAATATCCAGGGTTTGGAAGGGGAATAGAACTTAAACTACATTAACCTACTGAATGTTCACAGGGGTGGGAGAGGACACGGGGCAGAAACCAAGACAAGGACTTGCACAAAGCCAGCCAAGTTACCTCTAGGGATAAGCAAAATTCCTACAACAGATACACCCCCAGGTTTTAGAAACAACATTTTTTTTTTGGAAGCCAATTTGGTATTTTCTAAGCATCCAAGGATTCACCAAGGAGCTGAGCTTTTCAACCAGCAGTATTACAAAATAGTACTGATTGCAGAAGTGAACTACGTATTTCAGGAAAAATTCAAAAGTGAAAAAGATGCAAGAAAAAGTGCAAAAGATGCAACGCATTCTTAATGGTTTTTCCTGAGCTTCTATTTGCTTCTGTACGAACCCCTTTAGTTCTTGTGTTTTCTCTTGAGTGATAGTCAAATGGAGATAAGTAACTGGGAGTACGAGACAGCATGT